GGCTAGTGTTCCCCTGTCTGCTGATGTCCCTTGGCGTATTTCTCCTTGCAGAAGGAGGAGGAAGAAGAATTTGCACGCAATTTGGCTTTGCAGCAGCAGCTGGAAGAAGAGAGAAATCGGGTAGCCCTGATGAAGCAGCAGCAGGCAGAGCAAGAGCAGTTTCATGCCTTCGAGGAGATGATTCGACGACAGGAGCTGGAGAAGGAACGTCTAAGGATAGTGCAGGAATTTGGAAAGCCAGAGCCAAGTCCCGAGTCTCTGGACGGACCCCTCATCCCTGGTGTGGAAAAACCCCCAACTGATTTAATCCCAAAGGTTCCCATCTCTCCAGTTCACCCTGCAAGTCCATCAGTGGGGACTGTCTCATCCAAACCTCCTGTTGTGGACAGATCTTTGAAACCTAGTGCTTTGGGGAGCACGGAAAACAGTTAGTACCTCTCAGTGCGCCCTTCTCCCTTGTTGGGGCTGAGCCAAACACAGCTGAGGAGCTGATTTGACTGGGAGGCTCTTGGAAGTATCTGATCATGGCTCCGTCCCTTCTGGGGGTTTGGCCTTCCAAGTCACTGGATGTTCTCCCCATTGTCCAGTAAATGTTTGCAGGGCTGGGGAGAACTGTCTCTTCTCAGGAATCGCCCCCTGCTTCTTCAGCCCAGTCCCTCTGCTGATCTAGAGTCTATAGCCTATTTGGGTTTCCTAGATCCAAACACTTGTTGGAGATTGGGGTTTAGTTCCTGGCTAGGCTGACCAAGTTCTCCTCTTCTGCCAAATATGTCTCCAAAATACTGATTCGGACACTTCCAAGTGACTGGTTCTTTCCCAGTGACACATCTTACTTTAAATGACATTTTGTAAGTGTTTGTGGTTCATTTTCTTTAACAAAATACTTGGGTTTTGACACACTGCTAAAGGTCTCTTTCTACGTGTCCCTGATTTGAAAGAGGTAGTGCATGTCCTTTATGAAGTGTCACAGTGACTTCATTTATCTGTGACTGCTGTTGCAAGGGTAGACATTAGAGCAGTTAATGTTTCCAGGCTGAATTTTCTCAGTCCCTTCAGATACTGACCTGAAGGAACATTTCTGCAGCGTCCCCAGCTGTCATTGCTCATCGTGCTCCCATTCTCCCCACAGATGCAAGTATGGATGTCCTTCGCCAGGTCATCGTTCCTAGGGAGCTCTGCCAGAAATTCCTCCAGCTGGCTGATGCCAACACGGTCCGGGGTGTGGAGACGTGTGGGATCCTCTGCGGTAAGCTGGTAAGGTGGTAATCCTAATTAAGACCCCGGAAATGGCACAGGGGCCTTCTGTCAAGGTGTGCAATAGCTTTGAAAATGGCTAGAGGACCCTGATTTTTGCCATGGAAGGCTGTAATGCAGTTTCACTGAAGACTAGGGTTTCATGTGAGCGTTACGGATGATCTGCCTCTCATTTTCTTCCCTTTTATGTTAGGATTTCCTCACACTGAATGAGGTGCTGGCCACCAAGTCCCTATGGGTGTTCAGTTTCCTCTCTCCTGTTGAAGACTCTCCCTGGGTACCTGCTTCAAGCACTCCCACGTTGCCAGTGACAGGCAGCCCCAGTGACTTGTCTTTTTGGTACCAGCAGGACTGAGGTGTCCCAGCTGTGAACTAGGACCCTCACCAAGACAAGGCTGTGCAAACACCAACTGGAAACAGTTAGTTCTCCCCCAAAGACTTTGTGTGCACAGGTTTCTATTGGCAGCTCCAGCCTGTCCCCCCGATTGGGGCTGCTTTGCTTGCAGAAGTTTGCTTTGAAATGAAGCTGTTTGTAGCAACTTTCTGCAATCCAGCTGCTTCCAGACACGTGGTAATTATGAGGCATCATCTCCTAGTTAGTGGAGAGATTCACTTTGGTGGGTGTCCAGGACTTCTCTGAGCAATTGTGGGTGCTCTGTACAGCAGAGAAAATTAAATAGAAAGCCATGGGTTATGCTTAGACTCAGAAAATCCTGTGACTCCTTTGTCAGTAACTTGCAGTTAACATTTCTGTGACTTGTAAATGGACGGTAGATGCATCCATGGGCTTGTTTCCAGACCTGCTGTTCCCCTGGCTGGGCCCCTACGTGATGAATACAGAAGTACCGTGTTCCCAAAGCTTAGGAAATTACCTTTGCACCAGTGGGCGGCAGCAGTGTTTCCTGCTTGGGGGTGTCCGGTGGCTAACAGCCTTCCTGTGCTGCCTTGCAGATGAGGAATGAGTTCACGATAACCCATGTCATCATTCCCAAGCAGTACGGAGGCCCCGATTATTGCAACATGGAGAATGAGGAGGAGCTCTTCATGATCCAGGATCAGCACGGCCTTGTTACACTAGGCTGGATCCATGTGAGTCTCTCATTCCTGTTTCACGTCCCAACTGGCCTTGCATTCAGCCAGGAGGGAAAGGGGTGCGTGGAGCAGGGCTGGCAGAGGAGAATTTACTGGAGGAGATGGCATAGAGCAGGCAGCATCCTCCAGCTGGATTTCTCCCTCTGGTGCAGTCTCAGTCACTGCTCACACTGCTGGAGAAATCCAGGCCTGTTTTAAGTTTGGGTCCCTTTCTAAAGCATCAGGCCCTTTCAGAGTGGGACAGTTGGCTCATGTGTCATCCAGCGAAAAGCGGCCAGAGGCACTGTCAGGGCATCCCAAGCTCCTGCTGTCAGCACAGGGCCTCTCCCGTGATGCGTCCCTGTAGTAGCGTTGCTTTTTGCAGACGGCTGTGTGCTGCTCTGCCGCGGGATGTGCCAGTTGCAGATTCCTCTGCTGGCTTCAGTGCTGCCCTGCTGCCTGTCCCCGTGGAGCCTTTGGCAGTCAGATCGGTGCCAAGCAAAATGTTTGGTGGTGCTGCTGAGTAATCTCTCGAAAGCAGCAGCTGCCTCGCAGGCTTTGACAAATAAATGCCTGCTGCGTGTGCCTGATATGTGCGGGGTGTCTGCTTTTGGTGTTAACTCTTCAGTGACGGCCCTGCAACATCCAGGGACCCGCAAGAATCCCTTTGACCTGTCTGCTGGTCTTGGCAACAAAAACCAAACAAGCAAAAGGGGAAAGACTTTTCAGCAAGCGTTAGGCTGTGAAATCTAGCTGTCAGACGGAGTTGGGTAAGGTGGTGGTTGTCTGTGATCTACAACCCTTGGCCGTCATGGTGGAATGTGATATCTTGAAGTGCCTTGGCAGTATGTTACGTGCCTGGTGATGCTGTGGCCCAGGGGTAGCTGCACTTCAGAAACATGTGAAGTGCCCTGCAGGGACGCATGCATGAAAGCAAGGACAGTGTTGTGCCTTAAAGTGTGACTTTCTGTGGGATATGGCCAGAAATATAGAGCTCCTCCTGTACTTATTCCAAATGGAAAAGAGGAGCAGAAGTTTTGGGGCAATCCAAAACCATTTTCAGTGTGCAAGCATGTCCTCGGTGCCATCCGAGAAGCCGTGTCTCTTCTCTGTTACAACCTTCTCTTGGCAGACGCGGTCCATTTGGACTAGTCCTCCCACCCTGCTGTAACCTCCTTTCCTTTATGTTGCTTTGCGTTTCAGACTCACCCCACGCAGACAGCCTTCCTCTCCAGCGTCGACCTGCACACGCACTGCTCCTACCAGATGATGTTGCCAGAGTCCATTGCTATTGTGTGTTCTCCAAAATACCAGGAGTAAGTATGGATGTGGGGTAGGTAAGGCCTTTCCCTCTGCCTGTGCTGCCCAACCAAAAGATTGGGCAGGAGGTCTAGCCTCTTCAGAAGGTATCAAAGGGCTGTTTACCACGACCTTTCCTTTGTCAGATTCCTGGTGTGGAATAAAATGTCAAGTCACACAATGGAAGTTTTACCAAAAGAGGCTGGAAGAGCATGTGTGATTCAACAGCTCTTCTAAGCTGGTTCGAGGGGGTCGTATCTGGGCCATGGTTGCTCACCCGTGAAAGGGGACCAGTCTGCAGCCGCAGAGCTGGAGAGAGGAGTGTCCCAGGCCAAGGAGCATCCCACAACATGCATCTCTGCTCTCGCTCGAAATGAGCAGACTCAAGTATGCTCCTTCAGACACAGAAGGAGGTGCTTCTATTTGCAGAGGCTTGAGCTACACAGAGCTTGTGTTTATTTGCTCTAGGACGGGGTTTTTCAAGCTGACAGAGCATGGCCTGGAGGAGATATCTTCCTGCCGGCAGAAAGGATTCCACCCGCACTCCAAAGACCCCCCTCTCTTCACTGTAAGTCACGCCACGAGGCAGCGGGGGCTGTAGGACCCTGAGTTGGCGTATTGGACACTTCACTTGAATTTATATCTGTGTGGAGGTGCTAGGCTGTGACCCAGGACAGAAGGGTCAGCCTGGCAGGGCCTTGTCTCTTCTTAGAGTTGAGATGCAAAAGCTTTCTAACTTGTTAGCGTGTGTTGGAGGTGTGATGCAGAGCACTTCTCTGCAGAAACAGGTCAAGGCAGCGGCAAAGACTTGTATTTGAGAGAGAGAGAGTGAGAGAGGGAGATTTGTATTTGTGTCCTGCTATGGTCTCTGTGTGGCATCGGGCAGGGCACTAGTTCCTGGTCAGAGAGGGCTGTTACGTGACGGACGCTGGGTGCAGGTTGTGTCAGGAGGTGGAAGGGACTCACCTGAGCTGTGGGAACATCTGAATAACCCCTGTCCCCTCTTTCTCTTCCCCTCTCTTCCAGACCTGCAATCACGTGTCAGTAGTCGAAAGAGATGTGGTCCTGATGGATCTCCGATAGGCCTCTTGCCTTACAGAAAACCAGGCCTAGGGAATTTTTTTTTCCCTCCTGTAGCAGATGATTTCTACCGTGTAGTGATCCTTCCCCTTCCTCTCCCAATAATCGTGGTGAAATCGGTATCCTGACCTCAGTGAGAGCACGTGAAACCTCAGTGCCTAGTGTCAGGCTGGCAAAGTGGTGCTGAGGTTCAAGGCATGGGGAAAAGCTAACTGGAAATTCGAAGACAGAAGCTAACACTGAAGCAATTGTTTAATACTCTAATCTATGACTTGAACAGTTTCTTGGGCGGGTCGCCCGTGATTTGCTGCAACCATGAGGTGTGGGAACCTCTTCAAGTGCTTTCCAAAGTGGGACTTGCCCAAATTAACCCATGCTTTGTTTTGCCTCTCTCTCTGGGTTGTTGTGGTCTCAGCACAGCTGGCTGGAGTAAATGAGCCTTTGCTATAGTTTAAGATTAAACCTTCCTAACCCCTCTCCCCCCATGCAAGAGTTTATTGCTGCTGAGCCGGAGCGAGTCCTGCTTGCTGGTACTCAGGTCTTTGCCTGGTGAGGTAAGAAGGGGCCCAGCCTCCTTTGGGAACCCCTATTTCAGTGTTTCAGGGGAGAAGGTGCCTGGATGTGGCACTGCTTTGCACAAGCTGCTTCATTCCAGCGCTGGGGAGGGGTGTCTGGCTACTTTATTCCTTTTCCTGGATGGGGGATTCACTCCGGCCCTTGGGCTACCCAGCGAGGGCTTGGCTTTGGCTTGTTGCTGGCGTCACCATGGAGGAGGCTCTCAGTCTCTTGGCTGCAGTGCTGCTGTGTGAAGGCTCTGCAAGGCCATCGCCTCTCTGAGACAGGACTCCAGCAGCTTGTGCCGCTTCCGTCCTCAAAGGTCACCGCCCCCGATTGCCTCTGCGATTCTCAAAGCAGTATGAAGCCTGTCCTTGCCAGAAACAAGAACTCTGTGACGTCACCATTGTGCGGTACACCGGCTGGGGACCTCCTCCAAATTACTCTTGTCGGACGCCAAGCAGCAATTTTCCTTCCCTGCGCTATCCACACTGAGCCTCTGCCGGCGTTGAAAGGGAAGAAGCAGTATTGAAAGGTGGAAGGCATCTGGCCTCAAAGGGCTGAGCGTGATCCACGACATCTCCACGTCCTCTGGCAGGATGCTGTGATCATCAGCACATGGCCGTGCGGGGAGGGGAAGAAGGCTGGAGTTGCCTTCCCACCTGGCATGCATACATACGTGTTGTATATGTCATGTCCTTGTACTTCTCCACACAAAATTCTTTGCTGTACAGTTTAACACAGATGGATTGTATTATCTTGGCTGGGTTTCTTTTGCCACTTGTTTTCTTTGAGCTAACTCAGTGGGTTGGAGGGGTCCAGCGTGGCTGAGTGGGGAGGGAATGGATTTATTTAGGGCTTGTGTTTATTTGCAACAGCCACCTCCTTGACTCGTGCGTGACAAACTGCTGCTGCCATCAGTTTTGCAGTCAGTTTTGGAAACAGGCTACCCCCGGCAGTGGGAGGGAAGCAAGGGGACTTCAGGGCATTTGTGGGAACTAATTTATTTAAACCATGCTTAGGGGTGGGTTTTGCAGCCTCGGTGTAGGGGTGTTCATCCCACAGCTCTACGCAGAATGGAGCAGTCTGCTCTTCACCCTGCTGGCTCCCCCAGAGCATCACAGGGACACGAGCTGTGGAAGCCTGTCTTGTAAAGCAACGCTTCCTTCAAATTGGTAGTGAATATTACAATGCATTTATCTCACCTCCCCATCCCTGAAGGTCTCGGGTCTGAGCTGACCCCAGCATGGAGCAGAGAGCACCAGCTGGGGAGAGGAGCTGGTGGCAAATCACTGCTTCGTTTGTAAGCCGTCCCAGTGAACAATAAACCCTCGTGGAGAATTTTTCAAATACCTCAGCGCGGCCGTACACAAGGGCTGTGTTTCTTACATCAGCGGCCAGCTTCTGCCTCAGACCCAGCCCTGTTCTCCAAGCTGGTGGCTTTTTAATCACATTTTTTCACTTAAAGTCACTGAGTCATCAGTTTGTACATCGGGATGAAAGCTGATATCCTGGCACTACTACTGCCTGTGTCCCACTAACCCACCCCATCTGTTCAGCTGCACCAGATGTGACTGTTATACCTTAAAATCACGCAAAACAGGGCACTGAATTTGGTAGGAGCTAAACACTAACAGAAACCACCCTTTGCAGGAATGGTTTATTTTCCGCAACAACGTGGGTTGCATGTTTGGGGGGGGTTTCCTGCAGGCAGGGAGCGATGCTTATCTCTGCCTTGGGGATCGGAACAGACCCAAATCCCTGCCTGAGGTCTCGTCGCGGGTTTGTCCATCCTCGGCAGCAGCCCGAGAGGTTTAAAGCGCAAACGTTACCCTTATACGGAGGTGCCGAGGGCCGGCCTGCGTACCGGGAGTTTTGAAATCCCACAGCAAACCAGGGATTGCCCCCCTCCTTGTCCCGCATTCATCCCAGCTTGGACCAGCCTCGCCTGTGCCATGGGATGCTTGGCGTTCCTGCGAGCATCCCAGGGCCACCAGCCGCCCTCCCCACGGCCGCCAAGTGCCAGCAGAGCTGGCGGCTGGATTGGCTGTGGTGGCCGAACCTTTCCTTTTTAGGCTGTGTGCCTGCTCCAGCTTGGGCCTTGCTGCCACGGTCCCAGCTTCAAACTGGCCGTGCCGAGGCTTCCCGTCCCGGCTGGCTGCAGGG